TCCAAACGGTCGCAAATCACTCTAGGTCCAATCGACATTCAGGGAATCACGAGGGGGGTCGAGGTATGAGTCATAGGGCTCCAGATTCGTTTGTCTGGAGCCCTTGGATGTCCCGACCGAAGCGTTACGAGCTGAGCCCTGAACACTGGGACCGGATCAAGGATTTGCTGCCCGGCAAGCCGGGCGAGCCGGGACGGTCGGCCTCGGACAATCGGACCTTTGTGAACGGGGTGCTCTGGGTCTTGCGATCCGGGGCGCACTGGCATGACCTGCCCGAACGTTACGGCGAGTGGAAGACGGTGCACAAGCGCTTCACTCGCTGGGCCAGGGCGGGCGTGTGGGAGCGCGTGGTCGCGCATTTGATCCGCGATCCCGGCAACGATTATGTGAGCCTTGATTCCAGCCTTGTGAGGGCACACCAGCAGGCGGCCACCGGAAAGGGCGGCGGCCAACAAGGGGGGATCAGGCTCTGGGGCGTTCGCGAGGCGGACTGACCACCAAGATTCGCATGGCGGTCGACGCCCTGGGCCGGCCGCTCAAGCTGGTCCTGACGCCCGGCCAGCGCGGCGACGCGCCGCTCGCCCCGGTGCTTCTCAACGGCCTGTCGCCGCGCCGCGTGCTGGCCGACAAGGCCGACGACTCCAACGCCATCAGGGCACTGGTCGCAGACCTCGGCGCCGCGGCGGTGATCCCCTGCAATCCGACCCGAAAGCGGCTCATCGCCGACGACGCCGAAGCCTACAAGATGAGAAACACCGTCGAGCGATGCTTCAACAGACTCAAGCACTTCCGCCGTATCGCCACGCGCTTCGACCGGCGCGTCATCCACTTCCTCAGCTTCCTGCAAATCGCCGCCGCCAGGCTCTGGACGCGCTGAATGTCGATTCAACCTAGGACGGTTTGCGACCGTATGGACCCGCGCCACGGTTGCATTCAGGGGGTCCCCTCAGGTCGACTGCCTCGGCTCTAACACATTATACGCCTGTGCTTGCGGGCGACCAAATGACGCCCTCGGGCCGAGCACGCCCCGCGGTATCGTGACTCTCGGCGGAGCGAGCCGCGGGCGGTGCGGCGGCTTTCGGAGACACGCGGCATGCCCTCGTCCGACGTGTTGCTGTCGTTCTTCCTCGCCTCCGTGGCGTTCGCCTGCATCCCCGGACCGTCCATGTTCTACGCCGCGGCGCAGACCGCCGTTCTGGGCCGGCGCGGCGGCTGGCGATCTGCCGTCGGCTTTCACATCGCCGGCCTCGGGCACGTCACGGCCGCCGCCGCCGGGGCGAGCGCGCTTTTGCATGCCGAACCCGCCCTCTTCCTCGTCATGCGGCTGGCCGGCGCCCTCTACTTGGTCGCGATGGGCGTCCGCTATCTCCTGGCGCCGGCCGAGCTCCCCGACGCGGAGGCCGAACGTAGACGCGACCGGGGCGTCGGAGGGGCCCTGCGCGACAGCTTCTTGGTCGAGATCCTCAATCCGAAATCCTTCGTCTTCTTCTTCGTATTCCTTTCGCAATTCGCCGACCCCGGGGCGACATTCCCGCTCTGGATGCAGATTCTCGTCCTCGGCCTCGTCGTGAACGTTCTGTTCTCCCTGACGGACCTCGTCCTGATCGAGCTGTCGCACGCTCTGTTCCGCTCGCCGCGGAAGACGGCCCGCCGCGCGAAGGCGATCCGTCGATGCGGCGGTCTCGTCCTCGTCGGGCTCGGCGTCAAGCTTGCCCTCGAAGGTGTCTAGCGGACCGGAGGCCTGCGGACGGCCGCGGCGGTTCGACAGAGCGCGATCCGATCGCGCCCGGCGGACCCCGGCGGTCCAAGGTCTCCGGCGTGCCGGGCTGGGCCGTCCTGGGTCTGGCTTCGGGCCGGACAGGCGGGAAATGGAGCGGGTGATGGGAATCGAACCC